TGTGCGTGTGTGCGTGCGTGCGTGCGTGCGTGCGTGCGTGCGTGCGTGCGTGCGTGCGTGCGTGCGTGCGTGCGTGAGTGTGTGCGTGCGTGCGTGCGTGCGTGCGTGCGTGCGTGCGTGCGTGCGTGCGTGCGTGCGTGCGTGCGTGCGTGCGTGCGTGCGTGCGTGCGTGCGTGCGTGCGTGCGTGCGTGCGTGCGTGCGTGCGTGCGTGCGTGCGTGCGTGTCTGTGTGCGCGCGCGTGTGATGTGGTGTGACGCGGTGTAGCGTGGTGGTGGTGGGTGGGGTAGTGGGGTGGTGGTGGCGGTGCGCGTGCGTGCGTGCGTGCGTGCGTTGGTGGGTGGAAGTGGCGGTGGGCGGGGCGGGGCGCGGTGCGGTGGTGGCGGGCGGATGGGCGCGCGAGAAAGAGGCCCGCGCTGGGGCGAGAACGCCATCCTGAACGACGGAGGCGAAACACCGATCCGAAAATGAGACCCACGCTGCAGCGGGAGCACGATTCGGAACGAACGGGGCCCGAAAATGAGGCCGGCGCCTCAACGAGAGCAGCATTTTGGAAAAAAATGCAGGCGAAAGCCCGACTCCGGGGAAACCTGTGTGTAAAAAACAGTACGCGGGGGGGGGCGGCTACTCCCAAGACGTCATCAGAGGAAGAGGGAGAGTAGTATTCATATTGAGTAATTGTGGAGAGGTGGAGGGAGTCGGAGCGGGAGGCGGGGGGAGAGGGCGCAGGAGGTGGAAGGGGAAGGGACGGAATATGGGGGGGGAGGGAGGGAGCAGGAGACGGAGGGAGAGGGGGAGGGAGGGAGGGAGCGGGAGGCGGAGGGGGAGGGAGGAGAGGGGAAGCTAAAAGTGTACAGTACGAGAAACGTACGTCTACTGTGTGGAAACTGCTGGAACAGTGTACAGTACAATACACAGTGTTCATTCAGGATGGCTTTTGGCTGATCTGAGATGGCTTCTTCATGTATTCATTATGGCTCATTCAGTAGGGCTTGTTTGGAATATGTGTCTTGTTCGTTCGGCTGATAAGGCTTCAGGTCTTGCTCGATCCGAAATCTAAGGTCAGGGATCTGGGGTCTGGGAAGCAGGACCCGCGACCCAGGACCAAGACTGAGGATCTGGGACCCCAGACCAAGAACCCAGGATCCAGGAAATTTTGGAGCCAGGATCTGGAATGTGAGGACCCGGGATCCAGGATCTGCCCTCCGAGGACGGGGCCCAGACAGCCAGTGCACAAACCAAAATCGAGTCGGCGGTTGGTCCCCTTTTCTATGGCCTCTGGAGGCCGCTTTCGCTCCTCAGGGCAGTCAACGAATCGGGGCTTGACAGAACCCCCAGCAGTGACACGTCGATTAGTGAATTGTCCGTTTTCGGTTCTCGAGAGGGCGCCGTGGCCGTCATTTTCCAGGCTTGCGCCCGCCAGGTTGGGGCCTCAGGTCGTTTTCACTACACCACGTTTTGCTAAAGGGGGGTCTGTCCATCCCCGAACGAAACGGATCTGGACGAAACGCCAGCCCTGGGGGAAGGGGTCGAGAGGTCCGGGGAAGAACGCAGAGCGCCTGGTGTCTGGGTCAGGGCGGCATGGGAGCCTTGTTCTGGAGCCGAGAGAAGCACTGTTTCGACCCATGGCCCATCCCAGGGCTGCCAGTCCGGTGGAGGCTTGGCGAGGGGGGGGGGGGAAGGGGGAGGGGGGGGGCGGCCTTCTGTGAAAAAAGGGAGGTTGTTTGGAGGGGACGGAGGCTTCTCAGGAGGGCTTCTGAAAAGTCGCCCTCTCGGAGGGCGAGAGCAGGCCTGGAAACCTCCGAGGAGCGCCAGGAGTCCCACGCCAACAGATGCCCCCCCCGGACCTGACCTGAGGTGCGCGTTGAGCACGCTTCTGGCCATGGCCGCCAGGACGCCCCTCGGAGCCGAAAAAGGGTGAGGCACGCTGACATCCTCCCCCCTCCCCCTCGCAGGAAGCGGCGCAAGACATCCAATGACTTCGCACAAGAGGGGCGCGTGGCACGATGGTGCTCCCGAAGTGCGCGCCGCGCGAGGATGTCGACACGTACTGCTGCATCTGAGGCCTGCGGCCACGGCCGCCCCGCGCAGGCCGAATTCGGCCCGTCCCCCCCCCCCCCGCGCAGTGACGATTCCGCGCGTCTCGTCTCGCCTCCCCCATCGTCATCTCCTCTCCTCCTCCCCTCCTCCTCCTCCTCCTCCTCCTCCTCCTCCTCCTCCCCCCCTCCTCCTCCTCCCTCCTCCTCCTCCTCCTCCTCCTCCTCCTCCTCCTCCTCCTCCTCCTCCTCCCCTCCTCCTCCTCCTCCTCCCCCCCCCCCTCCTCCTCCTCCTCCTCCTCCTCCTCCTCCTCCTCCTCCTCACCCTCTCTTCCTCGGCGACTTGCCCTGGCAGTCATGGTCACAGGGGGTTCTTCTGGCGGGATTATGTTCATCGGGGGGGCAAGAGTTTGTCCGCCTGGGCCAGCGCCAGCAGCAAGCAGCACCAGATTCGTGGCGGTCGGAGCGCCGCGGCTGTCCTCCACTCTCCTCCCTCCTAAGATTAAGTCGGGCGTATCCCACTACAGGAGGAATATTCCAAAGTAGTAAAATAATAGTATGGGGGCGATTTTTCCATTATGTATTACCATGTTGAATAGCTTTAACTACCTCTTATCTGTCGTTCGAAATGCGCCTGCAGGGGGACATGCCCGACCGAAGGCAAGGGTTGTCCGCCTGGGCCAGCGCCGGCAGCAAGCAGCAACATATTCGTGGCGGTCGAAGCGCCGTGGTTGTCCTCCATTCTCCTCCCTCAAGATAAGCAACGTTCCCCAGAAAATAAGCCTGGCGAAGGACCCAACCATATGCAGTTGTGAGTAATGCTGGTGTGAGTACCGTCTTCGGTGGATCTCCCTATGGGGCCACGAACCGTTTGAGGGGTGTGCCGAAATGGGTGTGGGGGCGGCATGCGAACGTTGCCACTGGGGCCTTCGGTGGAGCTCCTTATGGGGCCACGAAACGTGTGAGGGGTGCACCGAAGTTGGTGTGGGGGCGGCATGCGAACGCAGCCACTGGGGCCTTCGGTGGAGCTCCCTGTGGGGCCACGAACGTGTGAGGGGTGTGCCGAAATTGGTGTGGGGGCGGCATGCGAACGCAGCCACTGGGGCCTTCGGTGGAGCTCCCTATGGTGCCACGAAACGTGTGAGGGGTGTGCCGAAATGGGTGTGGGGGCGCATGCGAACCCAGTCACTGGGGCCTTCAGTGGAAATCCCCATGGGGCCACGAAACGTGTGAGGGATGTGCCGAAATGGGTGTTGGGGAGGCATACGAACCAGGCCACTGGGGCCTTCGGTGGAGCTCCCTATGGGGCCACGAAACGTGTGAGGGGTGTGCCGAAATGGGTGGTGGGGAGGCATGCGAACCCAGCCACTGGGGCCTTCGGTGGAGCTCCCTATGGGGCCACGAAACGTGTGAGGGGTGTGCCGAAATGGGTGGTGGGGAGGCATGCGAACGCAGCCACTGGGGCCTTCGGTGGAGCTCCCTATGGGGCCACGAAACGTGTGAGGGGTGTGCCGAAATGGTGGTGGGGAGGCATGCGGAACGCAGCCACTGGGGCCTTCGGTGGAGCTCCCTATGGGGCCACGAAACGTGTGAGGGGTGTGCCGAAATGGGTGGTGGGGAGGCATGCGAACGCAGCCACTGGGGCCTTCGGTGGAGCTCCCTATGGGGCCACGAAACGTGTGAGGGGTGTGCCGAAATGAGTGGTGGGGAGGCATGCGGACCCTGCCACTGGGGCCTTCGGTGGAGCTCCCTATGGGGCCACGAAACGTGTGAGGGGTGTGCCGAAATGGGTGGATTTATGATGATGATGATGATGATGATGATGATGATGATGATGATGATGATGATGATGATGATGATGATGATGATGATGATGATGATGATGATGATGATGATGATGATGATGATGATGATGATGATGAGGAGGAGGGAGGGGGGGGGAGGAGGAGGAGGTGAGGAACGCGGGGCGCCGTCTCTTCAAAACGAGGACCCAACACCACAGGATGGTTGGGAACAACTCTCCTCTTCCACTCTTCCCTTCCATTCTCCCGAATCCAAGAAAACATGCCGCCCAAAACAGCACTATCCTCTTCCATTCACCTCCCTTCACAAAAACCATTTGCTTGCCCTTCTGCCGGCAGTCTGCGTCCTCCCAGCCCGGGGTCCTCGACTTCGAGCGCCCGCGGACCTCCCCCCCCCCGCCCTCGCAGCGAGGCGTTGGCGCACCACCTGAACCGGCACGTCGTGTCCGTGAACCTCGCGAGGATCAAGACGAACCAGGAGCCGGTGGGCCTCCTTCTCTTCCTGGGGGCTTCCACGGCCCCGGGGCCATCAGAAGGCGACTCGGGAGGAAGACGTGGTCCCAGGGGAAGCCCCCCGGGTCCAGGACTATGTCGGGCGTGTCCCCCTACAGGGGGATTTTCGACGAGAAATACAACGCACCCCCAAAATACCCCCAAAGGTCAAAAAAAAATATAAAAAAAATAGTCCCCAGATTATTTTTGGAGTATTTCCCCACATCCAAGTGGGGTTCTTGTTTTCTCTGGACACCCCGCGCAGGAAAAGGAACCCACCATCATCATCATCACTCATTCCTCACTCACTCACTCACTCACTCATCATCCCTCACACACTCACTCACTCACTCACTCACTCACTCACTCACTCACTCACTCACTCACTCACTCACTCATCAGCACTCACATATGATGATGACGAGTGTGCGCGTGAGAGAGTGTGATGATCATCATCATTACCAGTCAGTCAGTCAGTCACTCACTCACTCCCTCGCCTTGGGCCTCGTCTGTGAGTGAATTGCGAGGAAGTCTCAAGCGGGAGCCCCCTCCCTATGGGGCCCGCGGATCATGTTACTAATCCGAGCGGGTCTTCCGATTCCTGTAACTGTCGCCACTTTGGGCTCTCGCGCTGCCAGAACGCCATTCCCAGGTAAGTGAATTGCGAGGAAGTCTCAAGCGGGAGCCCCCTCCCTATGGGGCCCGCGGATCATGTTACTAATCCGAGCGGGCCATCCGTTTCCTGTAACTGTCGCCACTTTGGGGCTCTCGCGCTGCCAGAACGCCACTCCCAGGCCACATCTGTAAGTGAATTGCGAGGAAGTCTCAAGCGTGAGCCCCCTCCCTATGGGGCCCGCGGATCATGTTATTAATCCGAGCGGGCCATCCGTTTCCTGTAACTGTCGCCACTTTTGGGCTCTCGCGCTGCCAGAACGCCACTCCCAGGCCACATGTGTGAGTGAATTGCGAGGAAGTCTCAAGCGGGAGCCCCCTCCCTATGGGGCCCGCGGGTCATGTTGTTCATCCGAGCGGGTCAGCCGATTCGTGTAACTGGCGCCACTTTTGGGCTCTCGCGCTGCCAGAACGCCACTCCCAGGCCACATTTGTGAGTGAATTGCGAGGAAGTCTCAAGCGGGAGCCCCCTCCCTATGGGGCCCGCGGGTCATGCTGTTAATCCGAGCGGGTCATCCGATTCGTGTAACTGGCGCCACGTTTGGGCTCTCGCGCTGCCAGAACGCCACTCCCAGGCCACATTTGTAAGTGAATTGCGAGGAAGTCTCAAGCGGGAGCCCCCTCCCTATGGGGCCCGCGGATCATGTTACTAATCCGAGCGGGTCATCCGATTCGTGTAACTGGCGCCACTTTTGGGCTCTCGCGCTGCCAGAACGCCACTCCCAGGCCACATTTTGAATGCCCAGAGCCACCTGTAGGCCACTTCGTGTTCTTCGTGCCCCCAGAACACCACTCCCGGGCCACTTTCTGAATGTACGGAGCCAAAACAAAAGGGCGAGGTCGGGGGCAACGTAGGGAGCGGGGGGAGGGCCCGCGCCAGGGCGAGAAGACATATACGCAGAAGAGACAGCCAGGACGCCTCACCAACCACGAGGACGACGGTGAGGGCTTTTTCCAGATTCGCCCAGAAGATTCTCATGCGGGGTCCTTCCGTCGGAGTAATTTTTGAACATTTCCCAACCATCATGTGGTGTTGGGTCCTCGTTTTGAAGAGACGGTCCCAGCGTCTCCTCCTCCCGCTGCCCCCTCCCTCCTGGGTCCCTCCTCCCCCTCCTTGCTTCTGCTCTCGGCACACCCCTCACACGCTCCGTAGCCCCATAGGGAGCTCCACCGAAGGCCCCAACGGTTGCTCTCGCATGCGGTTCCCCCACCCAGGGCAGCGCTTCGTGGCCCCATAGGGAGCTCCACCGAAGGCCCCAGTGGCTGCTTTCGCATGCGGTTCCCCCACCCAGGGCAGCGCTTCGTGGCCCCATAGAGAGCTCCACCGAAGGCCCCAGTGGCTGCTCTCGCATGCGGTTCCCCCACCCATGGCAGCGCTTCGTGGCCCCATAGGGAGCTCCACCGAAGGCCCCAGTGGCGCAGTTCGCATGCGGTCCCCGTACCCAGGGCAGCTCTTCGTGGCCCCGTAGGTAGTTCCAACGAAGGCCCCAGTGGCTGCTCTCGCATGCGGTTCCCCCACCCAGGGCAGCGCTTCGTGGCCCCATAGGGAGTTCCACCGAATGCCCCAGTGGCTGCTCTCGCATGCGGTTCCCCCGCCCAGGGCAGCGTTTCGTGGCCCCATAGGGGGCTCCACCGAAGGCCCCAGTGGCTGCTCTCGCGTGCTGCCCCCCCGTCCCAGGGCAGCGCTTCGTGGCCCCATGGGGAGGTCCACCGAAGGCCCCAGTGGATGCTTTCGCATGCGGTTCCCCCACCCAGGGCAGCGCTTCGCGGCCCCATAGGGAGCTCCACCGAAGGCCCCAGCGGCTGCTCTCGCATGCGGTTCCCCCGCCCAGGGCAGCGCTTCGTGGCCCCATAGGGGGCTCCACCGAAGGCCCCAGTGGCTGCTCTCGCATGCGGTTCCCCTTTTCCCAGGGCAGCGTTTCGTGGCCCCACAGGGAGCTCCACCGAAGGCCCCAGTGGCTGCTTTCGCGTGCGGTTCCCCCACCCAGGGCAGCGCTTCGTGGCCCCATAGAGAGCTCCACCGAAGGCCCCAGTGGCTGCTCTCGCATGCGGTTCCCCCACCCAGGGCAGCGCTTCGTGACCCATAGGGAGCTCCACCGAAGGCCCCAGTGGCTGCTCTCGCATGCGGTTCCCCCACCCAGGGCAGCGCTTCGTGGCACCATGGGGGGTTCCACTGCTTCCCCCTGCACCTTCGGAGCGTCCGTCTCCTCTTCTTGCCCTTGCCATTATCCTCTTCCTCCTCCTCCTCCTCCTTACTATCCTCCGATTCCTTCGTCTCCTCTTCTCCCTCCTCAACTATTCATTCTCTTCCTCCTCCTCGTCCTCCTCTTCCTCTTTCACCTTCTCTCCGTAGTCACTTCGTCGTCCTCCTCCTCCTTGATCCGGACACCCCCCAACCCCTGAAACGATCAAGAATATACCACACTAGAACAACCAAGCAATTCCGTGTATGATATCCTCCGCCTCCTCCTGTTTTGCCTCCCTTTCTTCCTCCATCCTCCTCCTCCTCCTCATCCTCCATCCGTGTGTCTCATAAACAACCCCCTGGCGCACCCCGAGGCGCGTTGAGAGGGCGGGGCGGGCGTTTCGCTTGAGACTTCATCACCATGTATGATCCTGAAGCTTAGACGTTGCAAGAGCTTCACTGATGGAGGGAAGGCCGTTTCCAATATGCAAATCTCGCCCTAGCGCCGCGCACGTTCGTTTCGTATGTATGCATGAGACTCGCGGATGGAAGGCTGACATTTCTCAAAATGTTGTTGACGCCAAAGCGCCGCGCATATTCGTTGCAAAAGTTTACAAGGGCTTTACGGATGGAGGTCAGGATGTTTTCAAAATGTAGTTCTCGCCTTCGCGCCGCGCACATTCGTTGCACAAGCGTGCAAGAGCTTCACGGATGGAGGGTGGGCCATTTTCAGGCTGTTGTTCTCGTTTCAGCGCAGTGCACAGTCGTCGCACAAGTTCGCAACGCTCTAAGGGATGGAGGGGGTTGGTGTTCAAAGTGTGATTGTCGCGGTAGTGCCGCGCACATTCGCCCCAAGATGTTATAACAGTTTCAAGGGCTCTCGTGGTTGACGTTCCAGAATCGATGTGCTAGCACGATGCCAGACCGTCAGGGTGCAACAGTCACGTTGGTTCGTAGTGTTGATGCTCCAGGGATGGTGTTCACGCACGTTGCAGGGTCGTCAGAACGCAACAGTAACGTTGATTCGCGGCGTTGGAGTCTTAGGAGTTGTGCTTTGGCACGGTCGATGATTTTCATACGCTTGTCTTCCACCGTCGCATTTCCCGCAGAAGAAAAATACCCTGTGACGTACCCGCCCATTTGTATCATGGGAAACGACGAGTTGGCCGAAACTTGCATGGACAATCAAATTGCAGGATCCTTTGTTTGATATGTAAGCTACTTAGGACACGCGCCTATGGAATGATGCGCAGGAGAACCGTACAAAAACGAGGGGCGACAACTACAGCCTCGAAGAGGACATGGGGAGCCGGGAACGAAGAGCAGGAGAAAGACGTGCGGGAAGCCCACTGTGCTGGGCCCCTCAGCAGCCCTCGAAAGTGGCGACAGTTTCACAGATCGCAGCCCCCCAGGGACTGCGAGGTCTAATCTGCGTCTGCGGTAAGTACCCACTGTGTTGGGCCCCATCAGCAGGCCTTGAAAGTAACGACAGTTTCACAGATTGCAGCCCCCCAGGGATGGCGAGGTCTAATCCGAGTCTGCGGTGAATACCTTCTGTGCTGTGCCCCTCAGCAGCCCTCGAAAGTGACGACAGTTTCACAGATCGCCGCCCCCCCAGGGATGGCGAGGTCCCATTTGAGTCCGCCGTGGGTGCCCACTGTGCTGGGCCCCTCAGCAGCCTTCGAAAGTGGCATCAGTTTCACTGATCGCAGCCCCCCCAGGGATAGCGAGGTCTAATTAAAATCTGCGGCGGGTACCCATTGTGCTGGGCCCCTCAGCAGCCCTCGAAAGTGGCGACGGTTTCACAGATCGCAGCCCCCCAGGGATGGCGAGTTCGAGTTTGAATCTGCGGTGGGTACCCACTGCGCTGGCCCCCCCAGCAGGCTTCAAAAGTTGCGACAGTTTCACAGATCGCAGCCCCCCAGGGATGGCGAGGTCCCCAGGGATGGCGAGGTGCAGTGTCAATCCGCCGTGGGTACCCACTGTGCTGGCCCCCCCAGCAGGCCTCGAAAGTGGCGACGGTTGCACAGATCGCACCCCCCCAGGGATGGCGAGGTCTCATTTGAGTCCGCCGTGGGTACCCACTGTGCTGGGCACCCCAGCAGGCCGCGAAAGTGGCGACAGTTTCACAGATCGCAGCCCCCCAGGGACGGCGAGGTGCAATTTCAATCCGCCGTGGGTGCCCACTGTGCTGGGCCCCCAGCAGGCTTCGAAAGTGGCGACAGCTTCACAGATCGCAGCCCCCCAGGGATGGCGAGGTCCGTTTGAGTCCGCCGTGGGTACCCACTGTGCTGGGCCCCCCAGCAGCCCTCGAAAGTGGCGACAGTTTCACAGATCGCAGCCCGGCAAGGATGGCGAGGTCCCATTTAAGTCCGCCGTGGGTACCCACTGTGCGGGGCCCCCCAGCAGGCTTCGAAAGTGGCGACAGTTTCACTGATCGCAGCCCCCCAGGGATAGCGAGGTCTCATTTGAATCCGCCGTGTGTACCCAGTGTGCTGGGCCCCCCAGCAGGCCTCGAAAGTGGCGACAGTTGCACAGATCGCAGCCCTCCAGGGATGGCGAGGTCCCATTTGAGTCAGCCGTGGGTACCCGCTGTGCTGGGCCCCCCAGCAGGCTTCGAAAGTGGCGACAGTTTCACAGATCGCAGCCCCCCAGGGATGGCGAGGTCGAATTTGAATCCGCCGTGGGTACCCACTGTGCTGGGCCCCCCAGAAGGCTTCGAAAGTGGCGACGGTTTCACAGATCGCAGCCCCCCAGGGATGGCGAGGTGCAGTGTCAATCCGCCGTGTGTGCCCACTGCGCTGGGCCCCCCAGCAGGCCTCGAAAACGGCGACAGTTTCACAAATCGCAGCCCCCCAGGGATGGCGAGGTGCAATTTCAATCCGCCGTGTGTACCCACTGTGTTGGGCCCCCCAGCAGCCTTCGAAAGTGGCGACAGTTTCACAGATCGCACCCCGGCAGGGATGGCGAGGTCCCATTTGAGTCCGCCGTGGGTACCCACTGTGCTGGGCCCCCCAGCAGGCCTCGAAAGTGCGACAGTTTCACAGATCGCAGCCCGGCAGGGATGGCGAGGTCCCATGTGACTCCGCCGTGGGTACCCACTGCGCTGGGCCCCCCAGCAGGCCTCGAAAGTGGCGACAGTTTCACAGATCGCAGCCCCCCAGGGATGGCGAAGTCCCATTTGAGTCCGCCGTGGGTACCCACTGTGCTGGGCCCCCCAGCAGGCCTCGAAAGTCGCGACAGTTTCACAGATCGCAGCCCCCCAGGGATGGCGAGGTCCCATTTGAGTCCGCCGTGGGTACCCACCGTGCTGGGCCCCCCAGCAGGCCCCGAAAGTGGCGACGGTTTCACAGATCGCAGCCCCCAGCTGGCACGCAGCGACGAGCGAGGCGAAAGGCAGGGGGGAAGAGAGGGACGGGAGGGGGTGGGAAGGAGACGCGCGAGCAGTGCTCTATTCAAAACGAGAACCCAACGCAGGAGGGTTGGGACAAAATATTGTTACAGGGATCTATGGAGAGGTAATTTGGAGAGAAAGCTTCTTACAACATCGCTGATGCGCCTTGGGTTTACGCTGGTCCTCCTCCTCTTCCTCCTCAACCTCCTCCTCCATCCCCCCAGAACCCCCCCAAGACTTGTGGGATATCCGAGAAATCCCCAGGACTCCAAGTAGCCGCGCAAGCCAGCGTAAAATGCAACCCTCTTCCACTCCTCCCAACCCCGAAATCTTTCTCCCCCTATTCTCCTCATCATCCCCCTCCTCGTGCAGTCCCAGGCGAGCTCCCCCCCTGCCCCCCCCCCTTCCCCCCCTTTGGGCGTCGGACAGCCAGGAGCTGATGGACCTCCTTTTCGACTTGGTGTTTCCCGTCCAGGACCGGGGCTGCTCTGTCCACGGGGGGGGCTATCGGAGGGGTGGAGGGGACGCTCCTTCGGCTCCAACTCTTGACCGAGGGAGGGCGGGTGGAGGCGGAAGGGCAGGGTAGGCGGCAGGGTGGGTCTGGATGCAGGGAGGCCGGGGGAGATAGGAGGACAGGAGGTAGGCAGAGGTACGTGGCAGGATGGCGGAAGCAGGCAAGAAGCAGCAGGCGGGACGTGTGAGTTCGGAGGCAGGAGGGATGAGGTAGTCCTGGGGTCTCAGAGTTGGGTTTCTAGCGGAAGGTTTCTGGTGGTCGAGCTCCGATTGTAAGGACCACTTTGGGCTCAGGACGGGGCTCCGGTCGGCGCGCCGTTCTTTCGTTCTGGGTGGGCTTGGCCCTTCTTGAATCTGCCCTGGGCGTTTTTGTCTCCCGTTTTGAGCTCGGCGTGTTGGACCTCATGATTTGGTTAGCGGTGTCAGGCCCCAGCAAGAATGAAGCACGCTCAAACGCGACGTCTTGCTTCTACGTGTTGAGCTCCCTTTCTCTGGGCGTTTTCAGATCAGTTGATTGCGCTGTTTCGCGTTGCCGTCTACTACGTCCTCAGTTCCCTCTGCTTGGGTCCCAGTTCTCCCGGCGTTTGTTTTACAATAGTCTAGCTCGTCTCCGGTCGTCGCTGCTGGCCGGCCGTGGGGCCTCTGGGCCTCTTCCGCGCCTGCTTTGGACCAGGGCTTAGGGCGCTTTGGCGGGGGGGGCCGCGTCAGCTTTGCGCTCTGCGCGGGGGGCGGGAGGGGCGGGAGGCGGCAGGAGCAGGAGAGCGGGAGCGAGGACGGCAGGGAAGACAAGGCGCAGCCTTTGACAATGCATCCAAACACGCAAAACCGAAGAACAACGCGTATATATATATAGATATATATATATATATATATATATATATAGGCGCAAATACATATGCTTATTTATGTGTCTCTGTATAAGTATATGTGTATATGTACATCTATATATACATATATAAATATATGTTCACAGCAGCGTGCCTGGAAGCGCTTTAAACAAACACGGTAAACAACGCAACAAGAGACGTGGTTTTTTAGTTTGTCAGGAGCCAGCAGGTGCAGAACGGCAGCAGGAACGCCCAGTGCGCTCCTGGGAAGAGCTGGGCCGGGCGGGGGGGAGGAGGAGGAGGAGGAGGAGGAGGAGGAGGAGGAGGAGGAGGAGGAGGAGGAGGAGGAGGAGGAGGGAGGAGGAGGAGGAGGAGGAGGAGGAGGAGGAGGAGGAGGAGGAGGAGGAGGAGCTGGGGAGCTCTCGTGGCCGCGGCTCTCGCCGTGGCCACGAGAGCGCCTCCGCTCCTCCGTCCGCGGCCTTGGCAGCAGCACGGCGGCCGTGAGCCCCGGCGTCGGCACGGCAGGGGCCGTCCTCCCCCAAGCAGTAGCGAGGCGTCTTGGCTCGCCGATATAGGCCTTC